CTTGGTTTTGTTTGGGTCTCCTAAAGAAAACGTGTTAATAACTAACCAGAGGTACTTTTTTTTATTTGTATTGATATTTTTATAAATATTTTAATTGGAATCAGAACATGGAGAAGGATCTTGCTGGGAATGAATGATTGGGAATTTACTTCACATAATAATAATATTATTAATATGTATTTACAAGAAGACGTCAAGGCGATAATACACTGTTGAAAAATATGCAATATTTTATCAAAATTGGCAGTCGTTAAAGCACGCTACCTTAAAGACTTTACACAGTCATTCTCATCTTCCTTGTGATGTTCATAAGGCTAATTTGACCAAGGTTCTCATGATTATACAATGATGCAACATAATTCCAGGGGGGAGAATTTGGCCCTGGAGTTTACCAAGACTGTATCAATTGTCAATGACACTTTCACTAATTTTCCCTCACAACACCAGACCAGAGAAGGCTGCTGGACTCTGATGTTAAGAGGAAAGTTGTAAATAGTGTTAGTTTTGTATAATCATTTTCCTGAATGCTCTGTTTCTCTGATACTAACCAATTTATAATTTTGGGTAGGGGTTTTTGCCCAATCAGTCCTCTGTCCTATAGATTAAAATTATTGCATGATTATATACATCTTTGTCAGCAATATGACCAACAAGAAAAAAGTCATAAAATGATTTGGATTTTGTTTGGTATGTTATGTTATAAATTAAACATTTTCATAAATTTTCTGTTTCTCTAATTTTGTTTGACCAACTGAACTTGATGTTATTTAATTAAATAGGGGCTTCAGGGAAAATCCAAAACAACAACCCAGGTTGCAACATCCTGAATTGCAGATACCAACTTTATTCTAGAGAGGTATCATCCGGAAAATATAAAAAAATTTTACACGTGTCAATTGTAAGTTTAATAATAAAAAAGTGTAAAACTTATGTCGGCACTGTAAGATTTACACAATATTACATCAGCATTGTAAGATTTATGCAAGTTTATGCTAAATTAATTTCCTGATGATAACACAATGCAACCATCACACAAATGTCAACTATCATCAGCAATCAATACCCATATGGTAACAGCCAGCCTGGTCTGAGTGAAAGATAGGGAAATGTGTTTTGTCCAAGGCCTTCTAATGTATAAGCTTAATTTTTTTCATCGAAAAGATTTGCAATTGTGCATGGTGGTGATAGGAAATTTTAGTTAAATCTGACACCTGCAATCATCAGATTTATTATTCATGAGCAATTTATTTTGTGAACCCCAGAGATCTGGGTAGACACATATTATTAAAAGTTTCATTTATGCATGGCCTTGGTATCATTACTACTTGGGTGATACAATTGTTTGTTATGTCAATGATGATATCAAATGTATCACATAATAATCATGACCATCATGAATATTTGATGGATGGAGGCATTCACATACAAGGAAACGAAGGAAATGATTAAATAGCTAAGTCATGTTTGTTTTGTTAAAAACATATGATTAATTATATAATAAAAAAATTGCATGGAATCCAAGACTGCACCACTATGTCAATCAAGCTATCAAGCTGTTATCTTTGTGCTCCCATCTTTCTTTGTTTATATATAATCTATTGGTTATCTTTTTACTGGTCAAATGATGCCAAATTGGTTAATGGGGTATTCAGCAAATATCAGAATCTGATTATTCTTTAAAAAAATAATCAAGGTATTAGCATACTGATAAGTTAATAATTTTTTTATCATATAGTCTGCTAAAATAGTATCATAATCTTGAGTAACCCTTTTTTAAAAAATTTTATTGCATTTTTGAATGAATCACGAAATTGCAATTTTTGAAATTTGAGTGTATGATGCAGCCATAGGAGGTCTTTAGACCGGGCCAACCATAGCTTAAAATCATGTGTTCACCACATGATCTTGATAATATGTAACCTCCTTAATGAGTTTCATTTGAGATTCGGATTCAAACACTAATTACATCATTTCTATATTTAACTTATCTTTATGACATAATTATTTACTTCGAATTATTAATCAAATTATTTGTATTGCTCAGTTGACCCAAATAATTAGTAACATTAGTAATTAGCAATTAGTAAGCTAGTAATACAGAAAATAAGATTAATAAGCATATTTTATTGGACAAAATATTGTAAAGGTCATGTTATTTGTAATACCTCAAGAGGTATAAAAAGGCTTGGTTTTAGACCAAGTGAGAAGAATGAGGTGAATCATGTTAATAACATTCATAATAATCTATAACAATTGAATAAATACCCCACCCCCCATTGTTAATAATTAAATGAACACATTTTACCTTATTACGAATTTTTGCATAGTTAACAGGAAAAGCTATTGTGAATTGTTCCATGGTCCTATCTGATGATTAGTGGTCTAGCCAATAATCATTGGTTAGGAACACCCCCATTTGATTGTTCTATGCTGCTTGTAGGGACGCCTCAAGTGGTATGGTTGTAAATATTTCTTATATATATTCTTTTTATTTTATTATCTTAGGCTTGTGCCAACAGTACTTAGCATTAGTACTGTAGAGAGAGAGAGAATTGTGCAATAGAGTGTTTTGAGTAGGCTCTGAACTGTGCATGGATACAGAGGCCTGGTATTGAGTATTGAGAACCCTGAGCTGTGTGCAGATACAGGGAGATTTATATATTGGACTTTTACATTTATTTTATCTTATATATTTATTGGACATCACAAGCTGTGTGTGAAATCACATGCTCACATTATCAAAAACCTAAAAACTGCATCACCTAAGTAATGATATACAGAGATCAGTTAGTTTTAATGTTTATCACTTAAACTGTCCACATTTTCGAATAAGGGAATTTCGAAAAATTTATTGGTAAATTACAAAATTCCACCAATCAAAATTAACCAATAAAAAATTTTATTATGAATATATCAATTTTTAAGGTAATGATTGACACGGGCATGGTAGACTTTTTACAGTTTTACAAAACCCATAATAATAATGACCGAATTTCTATATATAGATCAATGTATAAAATCCCAAATATCATTCGTTAATTAGAAAGCATGATGATCAGAAAAATTTTTCTATATAAAAAAATCTAATTATACAAATTTGTACAATGGCCAGTTTAAGGGATAAAGAAATGATCATGTAACTCCCAAGTACATTCCTTTTACCAATGTTCACTTTGTATGGTTTTGTTGCAGCATGCCCCATATAACATTAGAAAATCAATAAATATCCATTCAACCATTAATATTTAATTTTAAAAATTTTATGTAATAAATCTGGAGATCCACAAAAATAATTGGTTTTTTTAATAAAATGAGTAAGAGCAAAGGATTTTCCCATTTACAAATAAAGATTTCAAAAATAGTCAGGTGATCAACTTGAACAAAAAGTTGCAATTGAGTGGCTTTTTTATTTATTATCACTAGTATTTATTTGGATAAAACAAATGATCAGAAAGAAAGGATTGTTAGATCATTCATGTGTTAAACTATGTGACTAGAACTCGATCTGAAAATAAATAGGATATCCAAATTGCTATAATTTAAATGGATAGGATATCCGGATTGCTATTGTGAGATAGTAAATCTTGTGCCTATCAACTACCCGGTTAATATTGACTAATTAGAACGAATTTACTACGGAAGTCATGTGATGCGCTAAATATTATTATTGTAACGGCTACGCCGCACATTGCGCAGTGCCATATGAAGGATTATTCTTATTCATATTTCTATATTTATATTTATTAACCTACTCATCTGATGTAAATATTTATTTAGAATTAGTAATTCGTTGATAAGCATATTATTGGAGAGTATGGTAGCACATATCACATTATTTGTACTGCCCCAAGAGGTATAAATACACTTGGCTTTGGACTAGTGTTGGTTGCCAAAACTATTTTGAAGAGGCGAAAGTCAAAACTAAAATTAAAAGTTATATGTCAAAACTAAATCAAAAGTCAATAGTCAAAAATCAAAACTAGTTTCGACTTATGGCGAAATCTTTTGACTTTCGCATGGTTGCGAAACTCTCTAATTTTGGAAACCAACACTACTTTGGACCAAGTTAAGAAGAATGATTAATAAATAAATTGTTAATATTGTTGATAACAACCTTAATAACAACATAATAATAACCCTTAATAAATATATAACCTTACATAAAATAGTCTTTGACTGTAAGTAACTAATAAACCCAGTGTGGTTGACCCCCAGCCCTTCTAATGGTTAATGGTCTGGCCAACCTTTAATTATTAGTTGGGAATCCTTTTAATTATTCAGATGCATCTCAAGGGGACGCCTTTGGGATATAATCATTTACATAGAACCTAGGGACCCTTTTATCCAGGAGGATAAAAGTTATTTTTATTATTAATCTTTGACCATAAGTCAGCGGGTAGGCTGTGTGTCATACATATATATAAATAAAGGAAACTTGACCATAAGTCAGCAGGTAGGCTGTGTGTCATACATATATATAAATAAAGGAAACTTGACCATAAGTCAGTGGGTAGGCTGTGTGTCAAACAATAGAATCAACTGTAAGTCAGTGGGTAGGCTGTGTGTTGAGCTATAAACAATCTATTAATTAGGAAACTCAGATCGCACGCTCACACTATAATAGTAATTATTGTTAATATTTTACAAATTTTTCTGGAATAATTCTGTATCTTTTATAATGATCATTTCATAGCAATAAAAATTATAATTCATACAGAATTTCCATATGCAAATTTTCTATAAGGCAGAACCACTCATATTATACAACAGTATTAACATTGTTGGCATATTATTATAAACAAAATATATAAAACAAAAAAAAAATTTCAATTTCAATTTTTACTTTCATCAACAATTTTTCGTCAAATTGTCAAAATGGCCTTTGGTGAGAAACCACCTTTAGTCAGTACTTTCGTCACGTCAATGATTAAAGTCAAAAGTTTCGTCATACATCATTAGATGCAGTGCCAAAAACCATGGTAGATGCACAAAAACAAGTATCAGCCTTTATTACATGATTAATTTCTCCAAATGCATCGTTAAGTGATTGTGAAGACCAATATAAACTTAATTTACCAAGATAGTATGATCTTGTAGCTGGATAAATAAAAATAGGACTAGTTAAAGCATAAGCCACATGTTCTATAGCTGTACTACCATTCACAAGTTTCAATCCACCTTCATGAGTATTAATTTCAATGCCTATTTTTGATTTCAATGATAAATTTGATTTTGAAATTGAAACCATATCATTATCATTGGATTCATTTTTTTCAATCAATTTTTTAATTTCAGGTTCTGATAACTGAGCAAATTGATTAAGTGATAATTTATCAGCAATTTTTGGAATTTTTAATATATTTTCTGCACTAGCAAGTTGTGTTAATAAAGCAGCATTTCTGGTAGCATTTGAAATATTTTTTGGTATATTTTCAATTATGTGTTGTCTCAGTTTTTGAGCTATGTGAGGCCCAGTACCACTTGTTGAAATAGCTACTTGTAAATTTCCATCACGATATGTTGGCATAAATCAGAAATAGAGCTCCGAACGAGTCGGGTCGGGGCAGTGGTTCAACCCGACTCGACTCGAACTTTTAAACAGTTGACCCGACCCGACCCGTCGGGTCAACGGGTCACAGATTAAGAAAATTACAAATGTAGATATATTAATTGATTTAAATA